GCCACCACTCCTTGGATTTCCAAGGCAGTATCACTACGGAAGTAGATTGCCCAACCTTCCTTCTGAGGAGTGGCTGGTGGGTTTGAACCACCAGCTTCTGGTTAGCAGTCGAGTGCATTAGGCACTATGCTACCAGAGCTCCCATACAATATGATTAGTTACTCAAATACCAAATTAATTTTAACAATTATCTATTTGGATCAAATTGACAACAGCAACTGCAGAGATTAGATAGGAACCTTAAGGGACAGTGGGTTTATGTTAGTGGAGGGAGAAACAGCTTGGAAAGACTGTGAGAATGGTTGTAAAACTCAAGGAATGTAATCAATGTCACTGAATTGTACATGTAGTAATTGTTGAATTAGTGTAGGTTTTGCTGTGTATATTCTCAACAACAAAGTAAGAAAAAAAATTTTAAAACTATTGGTGATCCATTTGACGTGAAGAAGAGTTCTCCAATTCTCCATTTACATAAAGAATAGTATCACTTTTACTGTATCCATTTTTTAAAAAGGAAGATGGAAAGAATAATACAGAGAGTGACCTTACCAAAAAGAATTGGTCAACATTCACCTCTTTCAGGAGGTAGCATATGATCAAAAACTAACGGTACTGAAGGAAGAAGCCCAAGCTACACTGAAGGAACTGGCAAAAAATCAGGCTCCAGAAATTGACAGAATACTCATTGAGATGTTTCAACAAGAGGATACAATGCTGGAAGGACCTACATTTTTATGCCAAGAAATTTGGAAGACAGCTTCCTGGCCAACTGACTAGAAGAGATCTATATTTGTGCCCATTCCAATGACAAGGTTATCCAATAGAACATGGAAATGATCAACAATAACATTAATATCACACTCGAGAAAAATTTTACTGAACATAACTCAAAAACAGTTGCAGTAGTATACTGACAGTGAACTTCCAGAAATTTAAGCTGGATTCAGAAGAGGATGTGGAATGAGGGATAGCATTGCTGATGTCAGATAGATCTTGGCTGAAAGCAGAGAATACCAGAAAGATGTTTACCTGTTTTATTAACCATGCAAAGGCATTTGACTGTGTGGATCATAACAAAGTATGGATAACATTATGAAGCATGTGAATTCCAGAACACTTAATTGTGCTCAGACATAGACCAAGAGGCAGGTGTTCAAACAGAACAAGGAGATACTACATGGTTTAAAATCAGGAAAGGTATGTGTCAGGGTTGTATCCTTTCACCATACTTACTCAACTTGTATGCTGAGCAAATACCTTGAAAAGCTGGACTATATGAAGAAAAACGCAGCATCAAGACTGGAGAAAGACTCATTAACAACCTGCAATATGCAGATGATACAACCTTTCTTGCTGAAAGTGAAGATGGCTTGAAGCATTTACTGATAAAATCAAAGACAACAATCTTCAGTATGCATTACAACTCAACATAAAGAAAACAAAAATCCTCACAACTGGATCAACAAACAACATCATGATAAATGGAGAAAAGATTGAAATTTTCAAGGATTTCATGTTCCTTGGATCCACAATCAATTCCCATGGAAGCAGCAGTCAAGAAATCCTATGACATACTGCACTGGGCAAATCTGCTGCAAAAGATCTCTTTAAAGTGTTAAAGAGCAAAGATGTCACTTTGAAGACTAAGGTGCACCTGACCTACGCCATGGTATTCTCAATTGCCTCATATGCACGTGAAAGCTGGACAATGAATAAGGAAGACCAAAGAAGAGTTGATGCCTTTGGATTGTGGTGCTGGTGAAGAATACTGTGTATACCATAGACTGACAGAAGTATGAACAAATCTCTTTGAAGAAATATAGCAGATGCTCCTTAGAAGCAAGAATGGCCAGACTTCATCTCTCATACTTTGGTCCCATTATCAGAATGAACTAGTCTCTGGAGGACATCATGCTTGGTAAACTGGAGGGTTAGAGTAAAAGGAAAGACCCTCAAGGAGATGGACTGACACAGTGGCTACAATGGTGAGCTCGGGCATAGCAAGGATTGTGAGGATGGTGCAAGACTGGGCAATGTTTCATTCTGTTGTACATAGTGTTGCTATGAGTTAGAACTGACTTGATGGCACCTAACAACAATAATATTGTACCCGTAATAACCATCTCCTTTCTGATACCTGTCAACAGCTGACATGCAGATTCAGATAACATTGACAACTCCATAGATTAGTAAGAAAAAGGGTACTTTTTTTTTGTACAGAAAACCTACATTGGGAGGTAGTATAGCACAGAGGAACAACCCTATGCCTCAAAGTCAGAGCATGTACTCAATCCTGCACCATAAACAAAACATCATATACATCACTTAATCATTCTAAGTTCAGTTTCATCCTCAATAAAATGTAGGAAACTCTACACACCCGTACAGGTACAAATGTGTGTTGGAGCAGTACAGAAAAATAAACAGCCTTCTGCTCCTCAAGCATCCATCCATCATGGAGAGGAGACTTATATGTCCCATCCTCCCAGAAACCGAAATAGTAAGATGAGGTCACCTGGCCTCTGAAGGGAGAAACTGGCTTGACCCTGACTTATAGTCTTAACCCTCTTGTGCAAGTTGGGAGATGGTTCTTCTACCTCTTGCCTCTATTGTGTGAGCAAAACAGACAGTTTTTGATAGGTTCAGCAGCTTCTAGGATCTCTTTCAATCTCCCTACCTGTGACTGTGACTAACTTGGCAGCTAAAAGACAGGACCTGCCTTCAATTCATGAAATACATACTAAGGAGTCCCATTATAGCCTCAGGTCTAAGCTACACCCTCCAACATAGGTTAGCAGGGACTTTGGATCATAAATATATCATCCAATCATCTGTTAGTTCCTTGTGTCTATCAGTGAATTGGAAACCAGTGAGGTCAGAATCAGTGAGCTAATCTCCAACTACCACCTTATAGCATTACGATGATGAACAGAAATAAAGAATATATGCAAAGTTCCTAAAACATAGCAGATGCTCAATAAAATGTAACTGTATTTATGTTGGCTGAAAATAGTTTTAAAACCTTCTGAAAGCTGCAGAGTTGATTTGACAGAAGAA